TTTTTTTTTTTTTTTCGTTGTCACTCTTTTCGAATTTTGTTACTGTCTATCAAAAACGTGTAGAATTCTGTGTCTAGTTAGTTATCCGTAGGTCACTTTATCACTGTCTGATATCTCTGCCGTTTGACTTGCTAGATTCAAGGGAAATGGCCGTACCAGGTAATACTTTCAGACTTCTCAGCTCCAGTTTCTGTTCTATGTATAACTCTGTCTTAATCGTGCTACCAACATAAAGGCTGTGTGCAAATGAACTTTGACCTATTTTAATATTTCCTCCTGGCAAATGTGTATGAACTTTGACCTTTCAAACTTTCCAAAAATATTTCCGGCAACATACATATGTTCTTGAACCTCTTAAAAAAATATTTTCTTATGCTTTGCGAGAGCATGCTGTTTAAAATGTGAAAGCCATATGTTTAAATGAACTTTTGACTTTTCTTTGGTGGTCGATTTCTGATATATTCTCCTGAAATCTTGACTTGTTCTAAGGTATCTGAAGTAACCATCATCATTGAAATAATTTCTTTTGCCTGATTCACTTGGAAGATTTTCTATTAAAATATTTTAATATTGAATTGTAGATTCTGGCAAGCATCTTTATAACAAATAATTTTTATCTGAAAATCCTTTCAGGTCTATCACAGGAAACAGGTTAATTTTTTGCACCTGGATATTTTACTATAAATAGTTATTTTTAATAATTTTAGAATTTATTTGCTTTCCCTTTTTTCCTTGTTTTTGTTTGTGTCCTTTTGCCATATTTCTGTCAAAAAATATTTCAATAACGATAGTTCAGCACCGACTTTACGCTGGTTTTGTTATGTTTTTTTTGCTGAAGGGGAGGGGGGGGGGGGGGGGGGGGGGGGGGGGGGGAGGCACGGGAGGAGGCATGACTTAGCTTGTGAGTGGTGAAGGAAATGTTATCTGTGGCATTGTACTAACTATAATCAACCTACATTAATGGCCAAAATATGTGTCCATTTATTTTTCGCTTCAGTACCATTCTAAACAATGGCAGGTAAACATTTGTCACAATTTTAAAGCGCAGCGTGTTTGGACTAAAAGGATTAATTCTGTGTGTTTTTACATGGTGTCTCCATTTTCAATGTGAAGTCAAGTGTGCATTACTAAATTGTTGTTTGGTCCCGACATCCTCTGACCCCTTCAGCTTCCAGAATGGTACACTCTTGTTCCATCAAGCGGGTGATCCCACTGAAGATGTAGGGGTGGACGGTGACAGGTTTATAGTTTAGATTAACATTTAACTGTTGTACTATTGAGATAGATTTTCCCCCTAAATGGGCAATAAGTTTGATGTATGCCATTACATTTTCAAATGTTAACTGTTATAAGCTCAGGAGTAAAAGTGGTACTTGACTGAATTCCCGAAGGTGCTGTGCCTTGCAGCAAAAACATGTTTAATAGAAGTTGCATAATCCTTGTTGTGAAACTAAATAAAATCCATACCTAACCTTTGTCTACGGACCAGCAAATATCCGATGTTGTGGCCACAATTGATATTTCTTACCCTATGCTCTGTCCCACCTGCCATTTGGTATTGCTACCTGATCATCAGGGCTACAGTAAAAAGGACTGGCATGTCATCTGTCAATACAGACAGGGCAGATTGTTGTATGCATGTTACTTTGGAAGTCCTATGGACCTATTTCATATTATCATTGCTCATATTCAGTTTAATATTCTTATAGCCATCTTGTACATATATATATATATATATATATATGCATACATTTGTATCAATATTTAAATTCTCTTAAAATTATCTTATTTCATATAATTTCTATCTTATTTATTGGAAAGTTGTAATCAAAAATAAGAACGAGGGTTTGATCCCTTTTGAAGACTGGAGCTTGGAGGGAAAACCCTACATTTAAACAATACCTATTTGGTAGAAATGGTAGCCTCGTGGGGGGTGGGGGGACTAATATTTGTGAACTAATAATGGTCTATATTCAAACCTGTTCATGTGACTATGTCAATTAAGGAACCACCCATGACCACCTAAGAGGCCATTTAAATGTTTCCCTTTGTAGTAATTTCGTTGTGAATTAAACTTGTAATAAGGGACCACCTAGGCTAAGAGGCCATTTAAATGTTCCTCTTTGTAGTGATTTCGTTGTGAATTAAACTTGTTATTAGGGACCACCTTTGCTAAGAGGCCATTTAAATGTTCCCCTTTGTAGTGATTTCATTGTGAATTAAACTTGTATTATGGGACCACCTTTGCTAAGAGGCCATTTAAAATGTTCCTCTTTGCAGTGATTTCATTGTGAATTAAACTTGTATTATGGGACCACCTTTGCTAAGAGGTCATTTAAAATGTTCCCCTTTGCAGTGATTTCATTGTGAATTAAACTTGTATTATGGGACCACCTTTGCTAAGAGGCCATTTAAAATGTTCCCCTTTGCAGTGATTTCATTGTGAATTAAACTTGTATTATGGGACCACCTTTGCTAAGAGGTCATTTAAAATGTTCCCCTTTGCAGTGATTTCATTGTGAATTAAACTTGTATTATGGGACCACCTTTGCTAAGAGGCCATTTAAAATGTTCCCCTTTGCAGTGATTTCATTGTGAATTAAACTTGTATTATGGGACCACCTTTGCTAAGAGGTCATTTAAAATGTTCCCCTTTGCAGTGATTTCATTGTGAATTAAACTTGTATTATGGGACCACCTTTGCTAAGAGGTCATTTAAAATGTTCCCCTTTGCAGTGATTTCATTGTGAATTAAACTTGTATTATGGGACCACCTTTGCTAAGAGGCCATTTAAAATGTTCCCCTTTGCAGTGATTTCATTGTGAATTAAACTTGTATTATGGGACCACCTTTGCTAAGAGGTCATTTAAAATGTTCCCCTTTGCAGTGATTTCATTGTGAATTAAACTTGTATTATGGGACCACCTTTGCTAAGAGGTCATTTAAAATGTTCCCCTTTGCAGTGATTTCATTGTGAATTAAACTTGTATTATGGGACCACCTTTGCTAAGAGGCCATTTAAAATGTTCCCCTTTGCAGTGATTTCATTGTGAATTAAACTTGTATTATGGGACCACCTTTGCTAAGAGGTCATTTAAAATGTTCCCCTTTGCAGTGATTTCATTGTGAATTAAACTTGTATTATGGGACCACCTTTGCTAAGAGGTCATTTAAAATGTTCCCCTTTGCAGTGATTTCATTGTGAATTAAACTTGTATTATGGGACCACCTTTGCTAAGAGGCCATTTAAAATGTTCCCCTTTGCAGTGATTTCATTGTGAATTAAACTTGTATTATGGGACCACCTTTGCTAAGAGGCCATTTAAAATGTTCCCCTTTGCAGTGATTTCATTGTGAATTAAACTTGTATTATGGGACCACCTTTGCTAAGAGGCCATTTTAAATGTTCCCCTTTGCAGTGATTTCATTGTGAATTAAACTTGTATTATGGGACCACCTTTGCTAAGAGGCCATTTAAAATGTTCCCCTTTGCAGTGATTTCATTGTGAATTAAACTTGTATTATGGGACCACCTTTGCTAAGAGGCCATTTAAAATGTTCCCCTTTGCAGTGATTTCATTGTGAATTAAACTTGTATTATGGGACCACCTTTGCTAAGAGGCCATTTAAAATGTTCCCCTTTGCAGTGATTTCATTGTGAATTAAACTTGTATTATGGGACCACCTTTGCTAAGAGGCCATTTAAAATGTTCCCCTTTGCAGTGATTTCATTGTGAATTAAACTTGTATTATGGGACCACCTTTGCTAAGAGGCCATTTAAAATGTTCCCCTTTGCAGTGATTTCATTGTGAATTAAACTTGTATTATGGGACCACCTTTGCTAAGAGGCCATTTAAAATGTTCCCCTTTGCAGTGATTTCATTGTGAATTAAACTTGTATTATGGGACCACCTTTGCTAAGAGGCCATTTAAAATGTTCCCCTTTGCAGTGATTTCATTGTGAATTAAACTTGTATTATGGGACCACCTTTGCTAAGAGGCCATTTAAAATGTTCCCCTTTGCAGTGATTTCATTGTGAATTAAACTTGTATTATGGGACCACCTTTGCTAAGAGGCCATTTTAAATGTTCCCCTTTGCAGTGATTTCATTGTGAATTAAACTTGTATTATGGGACCACCTTTGCTAAGAGGCCATTTAAAATGTTCCCCTTTGCAGTGATTTCATTGTGAATTAAACTTGTATTATGGGACCACCTTTGCTAAGAGGCCATTTTAAATGTTCCCCTTTGCAGTGATTTCATTGTGAATTAAACTTGTATTATGGGACCACCTTTGCTAAGAGGCCATTTAAAATGTTCCCCTTTGCAGTGATTTCATTGTGAATTAAACTTGTATTATGGGACCACCTTTGCTAAGAGGCCATTTTAAATGTTCCCCTTTGCAGTGATTTCATTGTGAATTAAACTTGTATTATGGGACCACCTTTGCTAAGAGGCCATTTAAAATGTTCCCCTTTGCAGTGATTTCATTGTGAATTAAACTTGTATTATGGGACCACCTTTGCTAAGAGGCCATTTAAAATGTTCCCCTTTGCAGTGATTTCATTGTGAATTAAACTTGTATTATGGGACCACCTTTGCTAAGAGGCCATTTAAAATGTTCCCCTTTGCAGTGATTTCATTGTGAATTAAACTTGTATTATGGGACCACCTTTGCTAAGAGGCCATTTAAAATGTTCCCCTTTGCAGTGATTTCATTGTGAATTAAACTTGTATTATGGGACCACCTTTGCTAAGAGGCCATTTAAAATGTTCCCCTTTGCAGTGATTTCATTGTGAATTAAACTTGTATTATGGGACCACCTTTGCTAAGAGGCCATTTAAAATGTTCCCCTTTGCAGTGATTTCATTGTGAATTAAACTTGTATTATGGGACCACCTTTGCTAAGAGGCCATTTAAAATGTTCCCCTTTGCAGTGATTTCATTGTGAATTAAACTTGTATTATGGGACCACCTTTGCTAAGAGGCCATTTAAAATGTTCCCCTTTGCAGTGATTTCATTGTGAATTAAACTTGTATTATGGGACCACCTTTGCTAAGAGGCCATTTTAAATGTTCCCCTTTGCAGTGATTTCATTGTGAATTAAACTTGTATTATGGGACCACCTTTGCTAAGAGGCCATTTAAAATGTTCCCCTTTGCAGTGATTTCATTGTGAATTAAACTTGTATTATGGGACCACCTAGGATAAGAGGCCATTTAAATGTTCCCCTTTGCAGTGATTTCATTGTGAATTTAACTTGTATTATGGGACCACCTGTGCTAAGAGGCCATTTAAAATGTTCCCCTTTGCAGTGATTTCATTGTGAATTAAACTTGTATTATGGGACCACCTTTGCTAAGAGGCCATTTAAAATGGTCCTCTTTGTAGTGATTTCATTGTGAATTAAACTTATGATAAGTGACCACCTAGGATAAGAGGCCATTTAAATGTTCCTCTTTGAAGTGATTTCATTGTGAATTAAACTTGTATTAAGGGACCACCTAGGCTAAGAGGCCATTTAAAATGTTCCTCTTTGTAGTGATTTCATTGTGAATTAAACTTGTATTAAGGGACCACCAGCATTAGGAGACCACACTTTGAACTGATCAAGGATGGTTTATTAACACAGATGTGACTATATGATAGTGGTTATCTCCGATAGACCTAGTACTCGGTCAGTAATCATAATTCCTCTATATCAACTTTACACTTCCTAATGTCTGTTGGTACTCGGGTCCTAATGAGGAGCGGGTAACTGTCTTGTATGTCTAACATTCAGCACTATGAGCCAATAATACACATGTATGATTTGTCTGATGTCTAATGAGGGTTTATTGACACTGGATATTATAGTTAGCCTTTATATCATGTTGTCATATAAGACCTCAATGTAACAGCAGTGTTTAACATCGTCACCTGGGAGTCCATCATCACACGTTTGGAAACATTGTCACTAGTCATTATATAATTAGTTTGCATTTTGATGTACAAATATATTCATTATGATTATTTTGGCATCTTTCCTTCAAATCTGTAGTTTTATTTTGTGTCACCAATTTAATCTTTGCATGTGTTTAATATATTTAAAAACAGGAAAAGAATTTTTTACTCCTTTGATATACAAAAGAAAATGATTGACATGTATAATTTTGAAATTTAAACTTTTCAAGACAAATAGATGGTTATTGAAGGTCACTTTTTTTATTCAAATTTTGATACAAGTATTTGAATAATAAAAAGGCAAAATTGATTACAGTGCTTTTAAAGCTGCTATCAAACTTGTTTTATTGAAAGAAAAACAAAGATAAATGAGATGTTCCTTATTTTCTCAATGACTACCAGCTATATATTTCATGGAGAGGATTGAATCATTTCATATTTGTGATTTCATATTTGTGATGTATTCGAACTGTGACTTACAAAATAGCAGGTTTTCACCAAGATAAATTAAATTTGCAGATTGCTAGCTGAATTGATTTGAATTCATTGGTCATCAATGGCGATTCAAACATTTTGCAAGGCTACAATCACATTGTCAGTAAATGCTGGCCAGTCAACTGGGAAAAGTAGCATTGTTTTTAACAATTAAAAAATTCACTATAAACCCTTGTATTTCACAAATGATAAACTTAATAATAATAATGTCTAACAGCATATTAATAAGATAATATCACTTGTGTGATAGACATTGTTTAATGTGAAAATTTGTAGTACAGTCAAGAACCTAATATGTTTTATTAAGCAGATGAAATGTTCTAAAGATTAGGTAAACATCATCATAAGTCATATACCTAGAAATAAGAGATGTGTCTGTCCAGCTAAACCTTCTTACAATTATTTTTCTCCATGTTTAGTTTCTCGTCAGTAAATGTTTCAGATACAACAAACTATTTTGTGATAAATCGGCCAATTCACTGAAGAACAAAGAAAAATTAAATTTGATGAAAATTGCTACTGAGCAGTTATTATTATGAATAATAATAATTCTGTATTTGATATTTCATAGGTACAGGCACAGCTAACCATGACATGTTCTCAGCTTCACAAACGAGCGGAGAGAATCGGCTCTATGCTGGTGGAAAAAGGCAAGCTCAACACTGGAGACCACGTCGCTTTAATATACCACCCAGGTAATATGATTAGACCACGTCGCTTTGATATACCACCAAGGTAATATGATGAGACCACGTTGCTTTAATATACCACCCAGATAATATGACGAGACCATGTCACTTAATTAAACCACCCAGGTAATATGACAAGACCACGCGTCACTTTAATATACCACCCAGATAATATGACGAGACCATGTCACTTTAATAAACCACCCAGGTAATATGACAAGACCATGAGTCACTTTAATATACCACCCAGGTAATATGACAAGACCACATGTCACTTTAATATACCACCCAGGTAATATGATTGGATCACATTACTTCAATATTCCACCCAGCTAAAATATTTTATCATATCTCATCTATATAACAGTGTTTCTGATTGGATAATATTGATCACTTGACGGGGAAATACAACAATGTGTTTTCCTCACATGCTCAAGTTTCCCTGTTCATATTTCATTACTTCATTACTTTTATAGGTCATAATTAGTCTCGGGGAGGGAACAAAGCATTGCGTTTCCCTACAACAAGGGCAATACATGTATATTGCTGATCATGCATACTTGCCAATTGTCCCTAATTAGGAGGAAGACTCCGAAGTTTGGAACCTTAAATGAAATTTAATATTTCCATCCAGCAAATTTGCTAAACTATTCCTATATCCTAAAATCTTAAGATTTCATATGATAGATCAACTCAAAATATATTATTTCAAATGTTTATTTTGTATCAAGGGGGTATGTACAAAAAAAATATGTATGTTATTAATTTTGAGCACGCAGAATCTCACTGATGGAAATTTGAAAAGGTTGGCAATTATGGATCATGTCACTTTAATATCCCATGACGTTAATATGTAATTCTATGGATGATGTATCTGTATATAAATGTGATGCCCTCATCTTTATGCCATTGCGGTATAGAAATGAGGGGGGG